TCCACAAATCTGGATTTGTGCTGTTACCTCAGGATTCTTCTTCCCTCGTTTACTTTATATAAAGGGCAACTCAACATTTTTGTTCTGTGAGGGAATATTTTTCCTTTCCTTTTAGTTCATGCAAAAGGCATCCTTTAGGGCCTCCCATGTTGATCACCTGAGGCAGACTTGTGGGGCCAAGAGTGTGGCTCTGGAATGAATTTGCCTGAGCTCCCGTCCAGCTGAACCACTTACACCCAGGATGAAGTGTGGTAACTTGTTTAACCATTCTGTGCTGCATGTTTCTCATCTCTAAATGGGAAGAACAGTACTTCATAAGCTTGTCCATAGGATTGAATATATAGAAAGCCCTTAAAATTGTGCTTGTATATAGTGAGCATTTTTTTTTTTTTTTACTAAATGTTATTAGTATTAGGCTCAAGCCCTTGGCATGACCAAGGGGCCCTCCAGTGGTGGCCCCTATGCACCTGCCCTGCCTCCCGTGTGTCTGCTATTACACTTCCCATCACTCTTCTCTGTTAAAGCCGGATTACTCTTTTAGCCCCAAACTCTGTTATGCCTTATCTCTGTTAACACTGCATTGCCTACTCGTCATTCCACCCTGGCCTTACCCAGCCTATTTTCTATTAAGTTTCTGCCATGTAAAATGGAATGCTGATACATCTGTGTTCCCAGCCAGGCATTTTGTTCACAGTTCTTCATTTCTCTTTCTCTCCTTTCTCTCCTAGACTGTGAACCTTTCAAGGGAAGGGGGAGTGTTAGAAACTCTGATAGCTATGGCACCTAGGAGCTCTTTCTTTTATGGAGGACATGTGTGTGTGTGTGTGTGTGTGTACATAATTCTGAAGTCATACAATTATATTTAAAGTACAGTCAGAGGAACTGGCTCCATCCTGGCAGCAAATCTCATTCATTACTATAAAAGGCATAAACTGTCTTTTTTTTCAAAATTAAATGTCTTTTAAGCACATTTGGCAAAGTAAATTAAAGATCCCACTCATTGAATATACCTGAGATTTTTTCTAACATCATTTGATGTACTATAAAATTTCCTTCTTAATATGTAATTTTTCCATTTCATTTTTGTTTTAAAGTATACCTCAGATAACGCTGCTATTAGCTATCTACACTATCTTTTCTCAGCTAGTTCAGCAGTAATTCAAAGCAGCAATGAAAATTATCATGTCTTCTTATTTTTCCCTTTTGGAAGATTTTACCCATATCTAATGAAGGATCCCACATAAACCCATAATTATATTATTCAAATGAAAATAATTACCTACATTTCAATGATGGCTCAAGTACGCATTTGTGTTTATAAAACAGCAAAATTAATAAATCATACTTGAACTTAATTCAAATATATGCCCCACATTCAAACACTTCCCTCTTACTGCTACCAACAAACATAACAAACATGTTTCTAAACTTAAATGTTGCAGTATCCCTAGCACTCGCTGTTGTTGTCAAGCTTGCCTCTCCATCAACCACACAACATTAGAAGTGATCTTTTACATTTTTAACCAGACCATGTCAATTCCCCAGTAAAAACCCTCCCATCTTTTTGGTCTGACATCTTTAGGATGGCCTTTGAGGTCCAGAATGACCTGCTGCTACCTGCCTAGCTAGATCCCTTCTCTTGCTACTATGCCCTGGGTCACTATAACTACTGATACAATGAATTTTTTTTCCTTCACTTTGTACATGATATTTATTCCTGCGCTAGACCTTTGCACTAGTATCTACTCTGTTTGCAGTGCTAGGTATTGAGTATGAGGCTGAGTCCTTAGCTTACCTGCGTTCTCCTTCTTGACTGTCTCCTTGACGGCCTCACTTCACTAAGCCCTTCCAGGCATTGTGGGCTTCATGGCTGCTGACATCTCTCTTAATCAGATCTTCCTCACTCTCCCTACTTGATAACTTTGCTAATTCATTCTGGTTTGGATTTTGGTGATTGGACTCCTCAGAATCACTGCTGCTCCCCCTTGTGTCACCTGTTTTATCCCTTTCACTCATCCATGACAGCCAAGGAATACAAGATTGCAAGCTAAGTCTCTCAAGTCAGGGAACGTTCTTCGACTACACTGTGTCACCACATATTGGCCTGGGATTTCTTGTAGCAGTAGATTCTTTCTCCAGTTGTGGACAGAAATTTCTAGAAATATAGGACTTGAACATATACTAAAGAACTCAAAATTCTTTGTGCAACCTAATGCACTACACTCTATTTAGTAAGATAAGCAGCCATCAATTAAGAAAGCATTCAAGCTCAAAAAACCACACTGTTATTAATTCCTGTAATAATTATTGAACCCTGAGCATCCTTAAGAAGGGATCTCTAAAGCTGCTTCTAGAGGTTTGGCTTCAAGAAGCTGAGAGAAGAAAACAAGAGCTGTGATAGCCACTTTCTTCTTTCACTGTGACCTCTCCACCCCTTCTGACAACTCTCAAAGAAAGATATTTTCTGGATGATGTGCAATTCCTTTATACAAAATTCCATGTAAACTCAGACACTTAAGTTTGCCCACAAAGATTAAGACAAAAAAAAAACAGTTAATGAATCATCTTAATGTTTTGTCTTTTAATTACTAAGCCTCTGGAACTTGGCAAATCATCTGAGTAATTGACTAATCCACCAAATCTTGTCTCAATATAGAAGGAAGGAATTGAAGGGCTGTAGAAACCCTTTCTTTCTCAAGATTTTAAACCACACATCAAATTGGGAGAAAGTGAATGTTTTGTTCCACTTCTACCCCATGACAGCAGATGCTTTGGCTGCTGTAGGAGGGAAGATAAATAAGAAAGCAAAAGAGAAAACTGTTCATCATACATGATTTAGACATAAATACAGGGAATGGAAGAAAATGATTTTCTTTCCACATGTAATAAAAAGGAGACTTGAAATAATAGCTATATTCAAATAAAACATTATCAACAAAATAATCTCCGTATGAGAGAAATGCTATAATTTGTGTCTCATTTGTTCAGCGTGCTGAACCATTGAGCCATAGCTATGATTTTGAATACACACACACACACACACACACACACACACACACACATGAATTGTCAAATAGAAAGAAAAATTCAGGCCACGTTCCATATCTCATTATTTGTTCTCATTCTGGAAAGAATTCTAAATGTTTGATTTTTTTCTGATTCCCTAAAACATTCTGAAAACACCAGGTTTTACCTGTATGGAACCACTGGATATGTGTTTAAGTGCCTTTTCTCTATTATTATTATTATTATTATTATTATTATTATTATTATTATTATTATTTTATTATTATTTTGATACTGGGATCGAACTCAGGACTTTGTGCTTGCAATAAAAGTGTGTTTTTACTCATTTAATGGTCTTTAACACAAGATAAACACAATTTTTATGAAGAAACTAGACTACCTACAAAACATTTAATTACTCATTTTTTCTAATTGGGGTCTCTACTTATATTGAAAATGAATGTCTAGGCACAATAGCCTTATAAACATTGCCCAAAAGTTCATGTACAAATAAAGATTGTAATCAGAAATATTAGGCATTGTGAAGTTAAGTCTGAGTTGGACCCATAGCCACAATATTTTCCAATTTATTTATGGAAGAGTTGTTTGAACTAGCAATAGCCTGAAAAATGAGGAAAATAAAACTTACCTTCCAATATTACTTTGATGATTGAATAGTAACTACTCATCTGTTAAAATGCTAAGTAGATTTTACAAAATATAGCAAGCTATAAATGTACATTCTCATGTATATCTGAGAAAATGTCATGTAAGATTTACTTTAATGTCAAGAATTCAATAACCAAGTGTATATGAAAGGAACATATTGAATTAGGTGGAATTAAATTTCTTTCTCTATAAATCATATGCCATGGCTATGTAAATCCAAAAAGAAATGAGACTGAATTTTGTTTTAAAATTAATTAATTTTAGCAAGAAAAGAAATTCAAGGGCTGGGGATTTAGCTCAGTGGTTCCGCTGCCTGCCTTGCAAGCACAAGGACCTGAGTTCGATCCCTGGTACCCCCACAAAAAAAATTCAATTGTTTGAGTTACATAAAATGAGGACAAAAGGTGTGTGTGAATAGGTGTATGTGTGTATGTGTGTGTATGTGTGTGTGTAGAAAGTATGGGTTACCTAATAAATACATCTAACAACCTGTAAATACATGAAGCTGATTGAGTCTGTTCTGTCCATATAACACAGATTTGGGGGATATCACCTTAAAATTAAAAGAGAATCTTCCCTTTATTTTACTGTAAGCTACTCCAGAATTTAAAGATAATTGTGCTTATCTGGGATGATGAATATCAGTGGTTCATATTTCCATGTTTCTGTTAAATACAATTCTTATTATAGAATAAATAATTCAAGAAAAATTTAAAGTGCTTGAATTCATTTATACTAGTCATGCATTTTGGTTGGCAAATATTAAATTAAAATAAAAGACATTTAAACATATCATCTAATTATTTTGTCTTTATTTTGCTAATCATCAGTATAATTCTAAACATCTGATGTTTAGCAACTGTGTTTTATTTTGTTTTTAGTTCTATAGATGCAATTATGCTGTAAGTAAACCAAGTTAAAAAATGGAGACCATGCATTGTATATGGTTATCCAGATGCACTCACATCCTTAAAGCTTCAGTCACAACATCCATTCTTTTCAGTAATATTTCTTTTCTTGTGCAAGGAATGATAAAAACACACTGTGAATGTTTTTAAAAAGTATTACAATAAAAGACATATGGCCATTAATCCCCCTCACAGCACTGCCCCTGTCTTGTAAGAGTTATTCTATTGTTTTTGCCACTTTCTGAAGCAGTTTCATTTTTTAGAAATCAAAACAATTTATGAATTGGTATAATTAAAGGAGGAAATATATAGAGAAGATAAGAGGTTTTAAGATTTTCATTTCCTTTGGTTGTTTTGCTACATACATAGCCACTGTGCATATTAAACTAATATATTTATTTCTCTCTTTCTCAACAGCTTAAAAAGTAATAACTCAAGTATTTGATAACAGAGTGGAACAGTTAAACAACTATCTATGTGCTTCCCATGATATGTCCTCTATACTGTAAGTACATGTTTACTATTTTTCAAACTAGCTTGATTGTGGGAGAAATGTGTTCAGTTAGGATTTGCAGATAACTTAGGTTGCTTCAAAAATTATAAGCAAAAATGCATCCGAGATGTAGGATATATTTATGAGATTGGCAGATATGAAAAGATGTTCTTTAAATTAACCTTAAAACTATATCAAAGCTAAAGCTTAAAATAATCATTCATTAGGACCAGGGATTTAGCTCAGTGGTTCTGCTGCCTGCCTCTCAAGCACAAGGTCCCGAGTTTGATCCCTGGTACTACTACTACTACTACTACTACTACCACTACTACTACTAATAATAATAATAAGTTATTGTGGCAGAATAATGTATTGATGTTTAATTATACTTGAAAGCCTTATTAATGTTCTCAAGATCTTTAATTTTTTAGAAACAAGTTACATAAATATTGGGCATATACATTCTTGTTCGAAAGTATTACAAGTCCTTAAAATTTCCCTTAAGATATAATTAGCAATATCATTTTAAATTCAGGTCAGTTTCTTTTTGTGTTGTTATCTTTTGAAAATGAGTTTTAATTTCGACTAAATAATACTTGCAGCACTAAATAATTCATATATATGGATATAATTTCTTAAGTAACTCAAAAGGTAAGGAAGAGTGGTCTTTGAACGAATATAAAGCTCTTAATCCTCATTTTATATTTCTGTAAAATAAAGAAACAAAGAGCTGGATGCTATGCTTTGCTTTTGTGTAACAAGTACTAAGCATTTTTAGCATTAAATAAAGATAGTTCACAATACATTTCAAAGGGCTGAAAGAAAAGATTTTTAATGTTTTCACCCTGGAGAAATGATAACTAAGGAAATAGATGTACTTATATTGATTCAAACATAGTAAAACATGTATGTGTATCAAAAGATCACACTGTGCCCAATAGATACATACAATTTTATGTCATTTAAAAATAAAAATAAATACATTTTTAAAGCAATCAAAAGAAAAGAGAAGTGCTGAACCGTAAGTACCAACTCATAGAAACGGGAAAGAAAGGAGGCAGTCCTATCTCTTTCCCTCGGAAGAGTCTAAGCCATGAGCTAGAGTCCTTCAGCCTCAGAACTTAGCATTTCTGACATGTTTAGGGAATCAGAAGATGCTGAATATTAACGCCTAATACACCCAGCCCTAGAATCACCATCCCAAGCCTTACTCTCTAGTCTCCCACTTCTACTTCGCTGAAACTCCTGTCTGAGGGTATGAAAGCTGTCATCAATGACAGGGCATGGAGTGAGCCTTGATGCTTCTCCATGGAAGATAGAATGTAATGAGCACCCTCCTGTGGAAATCATGGGGTACCTGGTTACATTTTGAAGATTGAAGGTGAGGGATAATTTATTGACATTCCGTTTCAAAATATTGAAGGTATTTTGACATGAAATATTATTTAATACACAATATGGGCTTCTGAAGGAATGCTATCTAATAACGATATAATGTTAAACCTCAGTGATAGAGAACCTCAGGATAGACCAAGTCAAACAGACCTTCAAAATTTTAGTTCTGTGCATAGGTCACATTAATAGAAAGCTATAGGAAACAACTATAAAAACTAGGTAGTAGATGTTCAATAAACCAAGTCAGAAATGAAAAGCAAATACCACATCTTCCTAAATATGTGAAAGTTAAGTAAAAATGGATCTGAATATAGAATAGTTGTTACTACAGGTTGGAAACAGTAGGTGGGGAATTGAAAGAAACATAAAAGTAGTGATATCTAATATTTCACAGCAATTGTCCCCAACATTTTGGCAGCAGAAACTGGTTTCATTAAAGATGATTTTTTCACAGATGGTCACAGGGGGTGGAGGTTACGGGGTTATTTTGGTGTAATTTCAGTACATTACACTCATCATCCACTTGACTTTTATTATTACAGTGGGCAATTTATTTCTATTTTTGGAGTAGGATTTTCACGAACAGCACGCAACCCAGATTCTTTGCCTCTACTATTCACAGTAGAGTCCACACTTCTGTGAAAATTGAGTGCTGCTACAGATCTGACATCAGTATACTTATAAAGGATTGAAATATCACATGATACTGAATAAATATGGAAAATAATTGCTGTTAATCAAACTTTTCAAAAATGTTTAAGTAGAGGGAAATGCAAATTATCTGGACTTGATCAATATATGCTACATACATGTATTATGACAATACTTCCCATTAAATTTAAAAATACTTAATCATTGGCAAAACTACCCTTAAGGTGATTATAATCCTTTCCACTGCTTTATCAGCATATTTTGCCATTTTTTTCCTTTGCTAGAAGAATTCAAGAACTTCTATTATTTGTCATAAAATGTTCTTTCATGCCTTAACATTTAAAACTTATCAAATCTCTTCATGTATGTTTGCATTTTTGATGGTTCGTACTATTTAGACTACCTGAAACTATAACTATGGCTTAATTTTAGCCTTTGGTTTCATATTCTCTGGCTATACTGTATTGTTGGCTAAATAGGCACACTAATTTGAAAATTATTTGAGTAGTGTTAGTTTATATATTTATGTAGATATAGGTATAAATATAAAATGTATAAATAAAATGGCCAAAATAATGGTAATATTTTTATAAAATTTTGGTAACAATTTGTTTAACTTAACACAATAGTAGCATTGATTTTAAGAATATTATTCATATTTAATTCCAGAACTCTCTCCTTATTCATCTTTTTCTTGTTGGACTTCCTGGTAGAATACCATCTCCCACTTCTGCTACTAGATCAGAATTCATTCCTGCTAATTTATTTCTATTATAGTTGATGCAAAGACACTTTTTCTTTGGCAAACTTTTGGGAACTATAGTACCTTATTTTTGAAAATCAAAAATACCACAAAACATAATCAATGAGAAGTCATTTCTTTATTACAAACATCGCTGTGTCACAAAAGCATTTATCATGCCTTTTCTTAGACAAAAATCTTCCCTGGTTAAATTGTGTTGTATTTATTTAATAAGAAATAGATTTGCTTTATGTAGCGAAACAGATCAACCCTTGTAATTGTGATCCTTTTCTTTAATACCTGTATCACAATACCTATCTGCTACAATTTTTTCAAATTAAAGTGATCTTATGCTCCACAAATAGATTTAATATGAAGAAAATTATAGCGTATTCATAGTTATCAATAAATCAGGCTTTCTCTTTATTGCTTTCCAATCACAATGTCGACTTCTGGGGAGCTTATTCTATTAGGCAATTTGAAAATACTTTATTAGGCTATTTGGAAAGCTTCTTGAATTGAAAGGAGTATAAATAATGAAAGATGATACACCAGTACCAAAACAAATTCTGTACCCTCAATCAGTACCATCGTAGGTATAGGAGGCACAAGAAAAATCAGTCTGGTATGTGTTTGTATGTAAATTTCATTGGGTATCTGCTAAAATACCTAAATGTACTTGCAAAGAATATCCCCAACTCTTCTTCCTGACAGTATTTGACTGCTTAGAGTTCTCACTATTTTCTTTTTTCTAATCTTGTTACCACAGTAGAAGCTAATTTCATTTTGTTATTTTGCTCTGGTTTCATTTCAGGGTTATTTAGGAAAGTTTCTATTTTGTGGAGCCTCTCTCTCTTTTCTTACATCTTTCTACTGTATTGCTGATGAATAATCGGTTGCTGATGAATAATTGTGGTATAATTGAATTTCTAAACAAAATGCCAATGAATACACTTTTCTGTGAAGGAAAATGGGTTTGAGAAGTTAAGTAACTTCAGGAGCAATTAAGGGAGGCTGGGAGGTGCTGCAAATGGCAGGAGATCCAGAACCCCAGTGTTGGTGATGGGCATTCTTCATGCAGGGGAACGTGATTCTTGGTATAAAAGCAGATAGGGAGTAGATAGATAGATAGATGTGTTTTTATATGGAGGTGGAAAATGCATGGAAAAATAGATAACTCATTCTTGCACTATACACCCAGTATTGTCCATACCATGGGCAACTGAGTCAGATTTTACATCTGCTCAGAGCCTGGGTTGGAGATGGAGAATACACCCTAAAGAGAACTTGTCACTGAGTGTTCCAGGAGGAGATGAGAGATGAGCTGGGCAGCCAGAAGGAGTTCAGGAAAGTGTTTCCATTCAATATTAAGTTATGTGCTTTGCTGAGATCTAAACCTCTGTATCTAAAATTTTGGAAACATCTGCCAACCTTTCTTGAGTGCCTATTTCTAGGTTTCTCTTGATAGTACAAAAGCAGAGCAATGTTTAAAAATGCTCCAAAACATGTTTATTCAATGCTCAATAAGCCCTGAAATTAATATAGTTGTTTGCATGTTTTCTTTTATTGCTAGCCCATGTATACTTTTACATGATATAATTATAATTTTATGTTGTATTTTGTAATTAATGCCACTATAAAAGTTTTATCATATTCATTATTTCATGGCCTTATAATGACTGCCTGCTTAACTTCCTTTATGGTGGCTATTTAAGTATTCCTGAGCGTTTATATATATATTAAGTATTTATATCCTTATTTTGTATCATTTGATTTTCCAGAGGAAGTAGAGTTTAGGATCCCATATTAGGCTTGGGGTTACTATCTAGATATTCAGAATCTGCCACGGTTGTGACAATGAAAGCTGTCCTAAAATTTCTAAGCCTACTTTCATAAACAAATAGAAGGATAACTTTTTTGTGAAGACTATAAGAAAAAATATATGCAAAGTACCTATTTTAGCAAATTTCGAGGAATTAAATTATCTAGATAAAGAATATGACTGTACATATTCTTTCCATGACTGTGCCAAATTATTAACTACAATATTCAGTTGTGAAATGAATCCTCCACTTTTTAATGAAAGCAAAAAAACAAAGAAAACTAAAGCCAATTTTGTTATTTATTTAAAGAAGGGCAATGTATACTAGCCAGGCACATGTAATCAAAGAAGAAAAGGCTCAGGCATTGTACAGGGTTTTAGATGAAGAATAAAATTCAGGGA